CAACGATGACAACGAGGTTGATGTATCGAAGGACGCTGAGGATGAGAAGAACGAGAACGACGACTCCAAGGACACCGACGCCGGCGACGACGCTAAGCTCGGCAATGTCGATTCCAATGCTGAAGCTGGTACCAAGGACAAGGCGGTCGCCTCCGTGTCTGCGGGTGCCGACAACAATGAAAACGCTGACGCCGACACGGAAGCCAACAAGGTTGACGACGTTGACGGCGACAACGAGAATGCTGATGCCGTGAACGAGGTCGTCGAGAATGGTGACTCGTTGGACACAATCCTTGAAGACGTCGACACCGAAGTGGGCGACGAGCCCGAAATCGCTGCTGTCGATACCACCGACGATACTAAAGTCGATGTGGTCGCAGTCCTGTCCGGGGGCGTCGAGGGTGACGAGGCCGACAAGGAAGATGCCGAGGGTGACGACTCCAAGGACGCCGACGCTGACAGCGAGGACGACGATTCCAAGGAAGTCGACACCGATGCCGCTGACGAAACCAAGATCGCCGACATCAACGCTGCCAATGACGGCGATACCGAAGCGGATGCGATTGCTGTCGTGTCCAAGGACGTCGAGGACAGCGAGGGTGATGACAACGAGAACGCCGATGCTGAAAACGATGGCAACGAGACCGATGACTCGGAAGATGTCGAAGTCGGTAACAACGATGACGATGATTCGACGGAAGTCGACACCAATGCGGGCGACGACATCAAGATCGACGACATCAACACCTCTACCGGCGCGGACAACGAAGGCCATGAGAACCGCAACTGATCGCGTACGTACCCAGTGATACTGTACGCTGGACACCGACGCGCCCATGCTGTTGTGACGAGTGATGACTATAATACATCTGCTGTTTCTGTTCGACGAGTCCAGACAAATCGTAGACGTCCAAAGAAACATGAACAAATGGTGTCCTCAAGCGACACTATGGTTTTCCCCAACAACACGCCTTACACATGACAAAAAGTGCGGGAGATTTAGTAAAACGCACGTGCTACGAACGTTCGTCGACGGTGCGTGGTCTTCAGTGGACACCGCTGAAACAAACATAAAGGATGTTTCGACAATTGATGAACTTGATCGTAAGCTTGTACGCTCGGCGCCCGTCGTAATCGTTCAAGGGCGCTTCACGTCTTGCGGTGCCAGGTCCTTCCTCCAATACTTGTAGTGCCTACAGATAACACAGGGTGGGGCGGACCTAGTGACGACGAGTTGGCTCGTCTTCTGTGAGTCAGTGCCTCTGAAAAGGGGAGACGAGCTGCAAGTCGCACTGCAAGGTAATGACAGCAATCTGGATCTGTCACTTGGCTTACAACCGCACTAAACGCGATAAAACGTCTCGGGCAGGAATCGATGCGCATGGCCATTCGTTGCGTCAAAGTGAGTCGCAGCGCGTAGCATGGCTTCACCTTGTGAGCAATAGACCTGCAGCATTGCGCTCCTAGCGCAACTTCAGCGTGGTGTGGACGCCTTTCTCACAAAAGCGTCGGCAGAGATTGCGAACATTTCAACGGCCCAAACATCGTGTCCAAATGCGTGATTCTTGTCTGTCGTGCGTGCTAATGCGTAGTATTGACGATGCTACTAGAGTTCAAGACGGCGAAATGACGTAATGAGCTACGGAACCCAATGTCGACGGATGGCTTGTGAAGTTAGTGGACCTTTGAAGTGTGCATATCGATGGCACTGTACTCGATGGTGTAAAAGAGCTAAAGACATTACATTGGTCGGTGCGGCGAATTGATCGAGCTAGAAACTCGCTCCTGATCTGGGCAGCTTGTCGGTCTCGACCTCGTGCGCGCACCATCGCCTGGAGTCCCATTTCGTTCATGTCCATTCATGCTTGACCGACTCGTAGCGACACTCTAAAGCGTTGAGTTTCCAGCGGGGTACATAATATTTGCTTGTCAACTGCCGTCTCGTTTTAGATGCTGCTCGTCGGATTGGTGTCTATTCGCGGTGGCACTGCATCGGCATAGCCTGCCGGTTCGTCGCGTGCCGTTTATGCCAGCATGCGCGATGCCTTTCATTCATGGCGGCTATCTGCAAGGTATCGCTTGACCTCTGATTGGCCTACGACAATAGATCGTCGCATGCACATCCTTGCTTTGAAACGTCCTGCACCAGCGCTCACATTGCATTTCAAAATTCAACTTTCGACCATTTGACCATGCGCATCTACCACCCGTTGACCCTCGCTGCTTTATGCGTCGTCTTGCACGAGTCGCTTGGTGCCGCTCAGCGTATGATGAGTGTTGTATGTACGACCATTGCCATTAATTTCGACTGACTAGATACAAACAGCATGACGCGCCCGGAGCACCCCAACGTTGCTGAGGTCGGGCATTCGAAGCTGCGCCACCTCCGTCGTGAGAGCCGTGGCCACCACCACCACGCCGATGATGGGCAAGCCAACGACAAGGAAAACAACATCTCGACGAGTCAAAGCCAAGCCACGACGGACAACAGCGACAAGTCGAAGAAAGTGCCGTCCACCCAATCGACGAACGACGCGACGGATCCGTCAAAGACCGACTTGCTCAAGTTGTTCCGCGAGTTTAAAATCAAATGGAAAAACACGGTCAAACCACGCGGTCATGACGACGACGACGACGATTCGGATTCCTCCAACGACGACGCCCCTACGAGTGCTCCGACTACTACTCCGACCAATGCACTCACGGACGCACCCACAG